TTACATCAATTTATAAGTTATGTGAAATGTCTGCAGAACAACTGTTGAAATTTGAAGGAGCAGAATCTGGCCAGTACTGTTCCATATTGTCAGGTGAGAAAGACTCACCTGGTATAAATTTAATTTTTAAATATTGGAAATACACCTAAGAGAAATTAATTTAATCAAAGTATGTTAATTAATATGTGTGTATGTATTCTATCTTAAGTCCAGTGCATGCTAGTTTATTCTGTGTTGCTTTTATTATCAATTGATGATACATGCATATAGGATAAAATTTAACCATCACTGTCAGAGACTTATTGCGTTTATGACAGGTGTGCGAAAGAGTAAATCGTCTGACTGCAGCAATCCACATCATTACCAGAACTAGAGGGACCCAAAACCAAATTTCGTTTAGGGCCCCATAGAGGAGTGGGCCGGTGTTTGAGTTTGAGTCTAAAAACAAGAAATTTGACTTTAGTCCTATAAATACGGCAAACTCCATATGAGTTTTAAGATTTGGTGATCGAAACAAGGTTAAATCAGGGAAAGCAAGTCACTTTAACCGATAAAAAGTCATGCAGACAAGGACTCTTAGGGGAATACTGCGGTATAAATAATGATATGGGGAGTCGGAACTTACCGGGAGCAGCACAGCCGAGTGAGGAAAGAAAACCCAGAAACAAAAAATAAATCATCCGATTACCTGGGACAGAAAAAAATATCAAGAAACTGTACGAGCTATAAAAGGAAGACAAACAGGATTGACAACTCATGACATGATGAGATCAGCTTTACAGAATGAAATCTAGGTCATATTTACCTATTAAAGCAGCCATTGTAACTATTGGCTTACCCATTGGGTTCCAGTGAATCAAACGCCTCTAAAAAACAGTGATGATTCCTCCTGACGAGGCGAGTTTTAGACGTGATTCAAGTCTAAAAGGGACGATCTGATACCTTCTGTGGCTTAGACGTAGAGACTGCTATGTTTACTTTCGAGTTTGATATGCAAATATGTAACCAAACTTGTTAAGTTGCTATTTATAAAAAGTCTCTTAAAGAAAATGTGGCTTGGATGCCTATGACTATGACTTCATTAAGGTTTACAGCATCATTACTTTTCCAGTAGCTTATTTAAAATGTTACAAATGATGTTATTTAAAAAAGCAAGTAAGCTATCGTCAGTTGAGTCACAAATAAACAAAACAAACAAAAAAAAACTGAAGATTTTCTACTCACAACAAATAAAAAACAATACAATGGGTGACTTTATTTTCAACATCTCTAAATTCAGACATGAAAATACAACAGCTGTATTATAGTCTGAGTTGGCAACGGCAGACAAAAATGTTCACTAATGTAAGAGCAGCACTAAATGATTTTAATGTAGAAGAATAAAAAAGTAATCAAAACTACCTAAGTAGGGAGACTGTCATGATTCGGTTCGAGGGTGTTGAGGTTGAATGCAGGCAGAACCCAGGATGAAAGTGAAAATGATGGTTTCTTTAATAATAATCCATGAACACAGAACGACGGCAGAACAGACCACACAGGGAAACAGGCTACACACGACAAGGATCCGACAAGAGACAAAGACAACAGGTGGACTTAAATACACAAGGAATGAGACACACCTGGGAAGCAATCCACAGGGAAGACAGGACAGGGACAGGACTAAATACAGAAAACCTCAAAAATAACTTCACAGAAAACACAGAACACAACAAAGACTCAAGAACCGAGACCTGAAAATACAAATTTGTGTGCAAATTTTGGTACGTTAAAGAATTAAGTAAAAAATAAGTGAGAATAGCTAGCAATATCACTACAAAATAATTTAATCAGGCAGAAGAAACTGTCTGAATCCATATTTCTCTTGAAACCAAAGCTCACAGAGGTTAATGTGTACAATACAATACTGTGCAAACTACTGCCAGTGATAAGTGTTTTACTGCATAACTTGCCCTCTAAATGGGTCAACAGGCTCTGCAGGCTGAGTAACATCAGAAACAGGAAGCCTGAGTGCAAACCAGAAGTCTGACTTCACTATAAACAGAAGGTGTGTTTGTGTGTTTGATGCATTTTTAGTTAAAATATGTTTCTCCTTCATTCGTGAAGTTACTACAGGCTGGTAGAGTCATCAGAAACTGTTCTCAGACAAGAGCAGCTTTACGTCAGTTAAAATGACTCAAATAGTAGAAAAGTGTTATAAAACTATTGAAGTATCTTTTTAAGCCCTTTGTTCCAGAGAGTCTCTTGAAACCAAATGACCCCAAATTTGGGGCTTCCAGGGATGATGAAGTTTTACAGACTTTCATTGAGTCTTGTTTACTGGTGTGAACAATAGAAATATGAAGAAATGTAACATATTGTCAATTTAAAAATGTACAGTTAACAAACCAAAGCCTCGGCAACCAAACATAACCTGGACCCTCCTCCTCATTCTGGTCACCAGCTTGGTCACACAATGCTGTCAAATGGCATCCCATTCTTGTTGTCAAACAGTTTTACTGACGGATCAGAGATGGAAATTGAAATGTCAACAATACAAATGTGTCCTCTTTTTTTCTTACATGAACATAAAACATAAGAAAGACAATACAAAAACAAAACAGAAGAGACATACGTAAATAAACAGGAGCATTCCCAAAACCCACCCCCTTCCTTATATCTTATATCTTATCACGCCGAGGCTCAAATCAAATCCTCTTCAAACAGAGTTATCAATATATTGCCGAAGGAGTTGCCAAGTTTGATTAAATTCCTTTCATTTATTTGCTAATGAGAACCGTATTCTTTCCAGATGAGAGAGCCTTACCAGTTCATCCAGCCACAATTTAACAGAAGGAACCTCTGCTTTTCTCCAAATCATCAACACTAGCTTTTCTGCTATGGTAAAGGCATAAGATAATAATTGTTGTTGGCATTTATTAGATTGAGAAAGCTGAACAGAAGCTCCGAGTACAATCAGAAGCGGGTCCAGCCTCAACTCTGTACTGAACATATCTGATAAAGTTTTGAACATGTTAGACCAAAATGGGGTTAATTTAGTACACAAAGAGTCAGAGTGGAGAAGCGTGGCTTCTTCAATACGGCATTTGTCGCACAGTGGGGATGTGTTAGGAAATATTTTATGTAACTTCACTAACGAAGTCTGTGAATGATTTTAAATTGAATAAGACGGTGTTAGCAGGTTGTCTCAAGCAGCCTTCCCGCTCCCAGCCGGTTCTAAGGCCCTGCATGGACGGCAAGGATCTGGACAATAACACACTGTAAATCTGGGAGATTAGATGCCCTTCCCCACCACCCAACTTAAAGAGCTCGTCAAATTCATTAGGTATTATAGTCTCTAAATAAAGTCATTCTCATACAACATTTCCTTTCTTTTTGTGATAAATACTTAATTGTTAATTTTCTCATAATGGGAACTCTTAAAGATGCAGAACCTGACTACAATTGTCAAGTCTGTTGCAAAATGTGCTCCAGTCAACAGAGGGCAGTGTTCCTCTACAGAGATTCTTTATTGTAACTCACAACTGTATTCGGAGTTAATTTACAGGCTTAAACAAAACCAAAACATTTTTTCATTTTAGAGCAGCATTTATTGTTCTGCTTTTTGTCATTCTTCTATACATTCATTAAAAATATCCTGCTTGTTTCTAAATATGCTCACTGTTGACACATTATTCTAAAACCTTTGACTGTCAGGAGCTGAAATTAGTGACAGTGATCTGTCTGCTGTTCCTTGGTCCTCATGATGCTGTTTGTTCTCCAACTAAACTCTAAGACTTTGTTGGGAAAAACTGCATTTAAAGTATAAACACTAAATTTAAGTAAATAAATACTCTGTATAGAAGGTATGCTGACATGAAACTGACTATAGGTGACCTCTTGTGTCCATTGGTTGCACTGGCTTTATTTAGCAATATTAAAGTAAAGGAAGCTGGAAAAAAAAAGGTCTCTTGCGAGTGGCACACAGAGAGAGTCTGGATGTTTACTATGTTGATTCTTTGCTTTTTTTTGGCTTCGTAAGAAAACTTAATGAATTCTGCAATGAAAATATGAAATTTTGTCATCCACTTTTAAAAATGAGATGGTGAGTTTGGACATTAGCACAACTTACATTTTGTGTAGGCATTTATTGTTTCTCAAGAGAAACTGTTATCATTGATGTTGATCTTAGATTTCAAAGTGTTCAGCTTATAATAATTTATTTTGTTTACACAATATGCCCTATCCTATTTCAGCTCAGAGTACATCTTTTATTACTCTTATCACGCCGAGGCTCAAATCAAGGCGTGAGGCTCAAATCACGCCTAAAGAGAACTAAAAATCTATGCTGTACTTTCTTAAACTTTGAGTGCAACAGGTACATTTTGATCTAAATCCAAATTTTCTCCTGATTATTAACTTTTACTTTAGTCTTTACTGTATGCAGGACAACATTACACTGTGCAGTATTCCCCCCCTTCTTCTTCTTTCTCTTCTTTATTTGTGCCACTTTTAACTTCCTGCCTCTGGATTCTCAGCCATGCCTGACTGGTGCTACTCCATTTTTTCTAGTTTTTTTTGACTTTCTCCACAGTGTTTTCAGTGTTTTTTGACTGATTCTGCACAGGTTTCTGTACTATTGTCATAGATTCGGGGTCACCTTTTCCAGGGTTAAAAAGTGGGAACAGTTCACCTGTAAATTTTGCTGCCAGAGATCCAATCAGACATTTCTCTTCCACATTATAGAAGGAGAGCTCTCTGTTGTCAAAGTCCAAATACACACCGACTGTTTTTGGTTTTGACTGAACATAAATGAATGTCTCTGGTTCAGTGCTAAACTGAACAGTATCCTCCTGGTTGGGGCAAGAAGACAAGAACCAGAAACCATTTTTTGTGGTTGGAGGGAAACGTTCATCATGAGGGATTTTATGTTTATCTGTAACTCCGATCCACCAGGACTTCTTGATGAGGTGAAACTTTGCATTTGCTAAGCAAACCTCCCAGTAGTGTCGTCCAGAAGAGACCATAATGCTTGGATGCTTCTGATAGAGTCGTTGACTGCCGTGTTGCTGGACAAAAACGCAATAGGAAAAAACATCTTAGAAATTTCATTTTGCATCAAAGTTTCGTTTTGACTCCATTAAAACACTGGCAGCTTCAAATACTTTATCCTACCTGTAGGCAGAAGTGGTTCGTTGCCTAATGATAAAATGCAAAAATAAATGCATTTTTATTAATTTATGTTATATATATCAACAGAACTTTAAAACTATTTAAGAGACATTTATAGTTTGGAGGTGAGATTGTTGTAGGACTGAAAATCTGAACCCAACACCGTAAAGATATGTAATAAGTTCATGTTTTTAATGTGCTCATATCAAACCTTCAGTCATTTAGGGCAAATCAAAATAACTTGAGTGTCATTAAATGCTAAACTTCTGATAACTAAAATCAGTTGGAATGTCTGCATGAATTGGCTTCTTTTGTGAAGTGCCTTCAGATGACATGCTGTGAATTGGCACTATATAAATAAATTCTGTTGACTGAAATTAATTAAACTGACTCACACAAAGAAAGAAGTACGAATGAATTATGTCTTCTTTCTTACCTTTAGAAATGCTCATTAGTTCAGCCCCTGAAAGACAAAGTACAAACTTTAGTAAATATTTCCAACCAATACCTCAATTGTAAATTCAGTAGTTTATTGTCGTAACTGTTTTGTTGTTTAAGGATGTTACACAGTGTCTTCTAGCATGGTTTGATGGATAAGGACTTAACATGTCCTTACTGTCTTATTTAAATATCTTTAGTTTTAACACTTGCAATAATCCCATGAAGTTTTTTCTTAGTGCTAAATTGTAAATTTAGTTACATTTGTACTTAACTCTGAAAACTACAAAACAAAATTACACGATGGACCCTTTAATAGAAAAACAATGACATTTTGGGTCTGTTGTGTTTTATTTACCACCAGTTGTGAAATTTCCAGATTTGGACTTGTTAGCTGAAATTAAAAGAAATATAAGGTGTGAAATCAGTACTCTTTAAAATGTCAGCATTCTTTAAATGTCAAATATCATCCTCTCTGGCCAAAATCAAACATTTACCTTTCTTTCTGAAGTACAGGAAGTACAAGGCTCCGAAGGCAACTAATAAAACCAGAAGCATCTCAAAGGCCACCCATCCAGCGCAGGGCATTTTTGTCTCTAAATAAGGAGCAGATATTGTTCTAATAAACTTATTTTTTATAAAAGACTAATAAAAGAAACTTGAAGGTAAAACCTTGTAATGGTGGAGGATTTTCCAGACGCATTCTGGCCTCCTTTGGTTCTTCATTGAAGAGCCCAACAGAGCAGGAGACCTCAGAGGGACTGGAGACCAGAACCCAACTATGGACTGAATAAAAACCAGCAGAGTTTTTGCTAAACATCACATCAGCAGGTGTGAGAGCTGTTTTGCCGTCTGACCAGCTCAGCTCAGGCTTTGGATGCCAGCCGTCAGATTGGCAGCTCATGTTAACTTTGTTATGGTCTTTCATCACTGCTGACAGGAGAGGTTGGTGTCCAGTTTCTGGAATAAGAAGAAGATTAAGAAGAAGATGATCATTTGATGTGGACATCATTCTGTTTGGTTTTGTTCTCGTTCTGTTTCATGGTTCTCACCTGTAACACTCAGACTAATAGTTGCGGAATCATAATCATCAGAGCTGCTGACAAAGCATGTATATTTTCCTGCATCTTCAATTGTGGCTTTTTCCAGTTTCAGGCTGACATCACCTGCCTTTAATCCACCTGATGTTTCTTCCTTTAAGCCAAGTGAGACTCGGCCAGCGTACGAAGCTTTCTGGGATGAAAAGTCGAAAGCTCCTGCCTGATAAAGCAGGACTGGAGGATCATAATCATCATTCCAGTGATCCCAGCGTACCTCCATATCTTCTGCACTCTCAGAGAAGGTGAGCCAGCAGGGTAAGATGGCTGTATGACCTCGCTGGACTGAGACATGAGGCTTTGCAGAAACCGTGAAATTTTCTGAAACTGAAAAGGAAATCATAATCAGTCATCTTTTCGTTTTGTTCTGGTACTAGATTAAGTACATTAAGTGTTTCAAAGTAAAATGTTCCCTTGATTTCAAGTCTGTCTCAAGTTTTTCAGTAGACCACATGCTCTATGTTAAATTAATTTCCCAAACAATAAATAATGATAGTTGCGGTTCATTGCATGGTAAACGTAAAAAAAGAAAACATCAAAATATTTTTTGTAAACCAGTAGCATTTACAATGTGGTTGTGAATTGATATTTCTGCTGCTTCAACTTCATTTTTCTATACTGCTGGTTCTAAAAGATCATGATTGTTTTTTTTTTAGTAATGATATTATATTAACAAAAACACACAATTTCATTACAACGTTCTGGTTCAATTATTTATTTACTATTTTTTATTTCATGAATGAATGTAGAAATCATCCTTTATACGGGCAAGAAGAAAAAAATTAATTTCTCTATCTTTACAGAGGATGAACACAAACCAAGTTTTCTCATCAGCATATCAGCTTGTGCATAAAAAACTAACGGTGTTTATGAAATGTCCCAAGTATTTAACTTCATAACTCAGACAGGAACAACAAAGACAAGGATGCTGCAGGGAGCAGGGGAGACATTTGAGGTTAAATACACCAGGGACTAATCAGGGAACCAAGAGACAGCTGGGGACATTCAGGAGGTGTAGCCAAGACAAGATGAGACAGGGGCAAAATAAACTGGAAAACACATATAAAACTCAAATCATCTCAGCAACTTTGTATTCATGTGACACTGAATTTTAGCTGTGAATGAATTGATTCTCGTGGTTTGGCGTATATATTTCTGACTTTTTAAAGATATTATTATTATTCAAAATGGCATGTTTAATAAGGTTTGATAATAATTACAACTTCACACTGATTGATATTGTCTAGCAAAATGTTTCAGGCTACATGGTAACTGCATTAAAATATGGAGATGAGTGACTCTAAGTGGTAGTTGGTGATATGTTGTTTACTGCTGAGTATCATTATTTATATGGATGAAACAAACAATATTTTTTACATCAATTTATAAGTTATGTGAAATGTCTGCAGGGCGACTGTTGAAACTATTTGAAGGCGCAGAATCAGCCCAGTACCGTTCCACATTGTCAGGTGAGAAAGACTCACCTGGTATAAATTAAATTTTTAACTACTGGAAATACACCCAAGATAAATTAATTTAATAAAAGTATGTCAGTTAATGTGTGTGTATGTAGGCTATTACATCTTGTGTCCAGTGCATGCTAGTTTTTTTGTTACTTTTACTACCAACAGATGATACATGCATATAAAGAATACAATTTAACCATCACTGTCAGAGTTGTATTACATTTAATACAGGTGTGTGAAAGAGTAAATCATCTGACTGCTGCAATCCACATCTGTTACGGCCCTGGGCCTTGTAGGCTGGGCTGCAGGTGTTGCTTTTGTCTGACTTTGTGCTCCTCCCCTTTGCAGGTGTCTCTGGTTCATTGATTGGGAGCGCAGAGTACTTGAACCTGGCTGTCTCCGTCTTCTGGGTCGCTTTCAGCGTCCACTCTGCCGATTGACACTGGTGGTGTTTGTTGCCAGGCCTCAGCTCCCCTCCTTTTGCCCATTTGCGTTTGCCTTTGTTTTTGCACTTCAACACTCCCATATGCACTCAGACAACACATCCAAGCATTTGCATTACACCACTGATACTGATATCCACAATCCATTGTTGTTTTTGTTAATAAATATTAATTTAAATGCACTTTAACCCCTGCATGGTCTCCCGTTTTGTTATGACCTTGAGCCAGTCGTAACAACATCATTACCAGAAATTGAGGTAATTGAGGTAAAAAAAATTAAGATCTGGTGATCAAACAAGGATTTATCAGGAAAAGTCACTTTAAGCGATAAATGAAGAAGTCGTGCAGACATGGACTCTATGGTGGAAAACTGCGCTATAAATAATGATGCCGGGAGTCGGAACTTACCGGGAGCAGCACAGCAGGGTGAGGAAAGAAAACCCAGAAACCATAAATAAATCATCCGATTACCTGGGATAGAAAAAAAAATATTAATAAGAAACTGTACGAGTTATAACAGGATTGTGTGTCAGTTCTGTTTGTAGTAGGAAAACAAACATGATTGACAACTCATGACATGACGAGATCAGCTTTACGGAATGAAATTTAGGTCACATTTACCTGTGAAAGCAGCGATTGTAACTCTCGGTTTACCCATTGGGTCCCAGTGAATCAAACGTGACATAAATGTAGCCACTAAAAAACGGTGATTATTCTTCCTGGGTTTTAGACGTGATTCAAGTCCAGGAGGGACGAACTGATACCTGCTCGCTTCTGTGGCTTAGTTATAACAAAACAAGGTGTGAAACAGACGTGAAGAGAGACTGCTACGTTTAGTTTCGATTTAGGTATGCAAAGGTGTGGCCAAACTTGTTAAGCCACTATTCATAAACGGTCTCTTAAAGGAAATGCGGCGTGGATGCCTATGACTTCAATAAGGTTTACAACTTTGTCACATT